CGCGGGGAGCGGGCGCAGGGAGCCCGGCCAGCCGCTGTGGCTGAAGCACTGCGACCACTCCTCGGGCAGCCGCGGCATGCCGAAGGCCTGCTCGAAGAGGCGGTGGTGCACCGGGTACCAGTCGCGGAAAGGGTCCCAGCTAGGGCTCCGCAGGAGCGAGAAGGGCACGCGGCGCTCGGTCATGCTGGCTCGGCTCTGGGTTCTGCGCGTCTCGCTGAGGCTCGGAGAACTGACCGGCGCTGGAGCCAGCGGCGCTTTTAAAGGGCTTCAGCCGGGTATTTTTAGCAGGAGGTGCTTCAGGTCTCTATTAATGGCAATGACTAGTTAGGGGCAGCCCCTCCCGCTGCATACCGGGGCAGGGGCGGGGCGAGGAAGGTTCTGCCCACATCTGGAACCTTCTCTGGTTCAAAAAAACAAATGACGGGAGTGCTGATGCTGAGGCAGTGCCCAGTGCCGGACACTCGCAGGCCTGGGCGCTGACGCCCCGGGCCACTGCCTGTGGACAGTCCCATCCTTTTGTCCAGGTGGACAAAGATGAGAGAAGTTGAGCTGCTCGTCCCAGGCCGCACAGCTAGGAAGTGGCGGAGCCAAAATCTGAACCACAGTTACCTGTGATAGCATGTTTTAAGAAGCAGTCTGGTGTGGTTTTTCGGAGTGTGGGCTATGGAACCAGACTGCCTGCGTTCAAATCCTGGCTTTGCCATTCATGGAAGAACTTGTGCAAGTTAGACTCCTTGGGCCTCAGTTTCCCCATCTGGAAAATGGAGATGATGATGATGATGATGCTCACATCATTGGACTGATGTGAGGATTCATTGACTTCACGCAAGCAAGACTTTTCGCCCAGGGCCTGGTACATGAGAATTAATTACTGTTATTGTCTACCTGGAATTGAAGAGAGGAGGGAGGGAGGAGAGGGCGTAGGTAACCTATCCCTGTTGTAGAGGCAGTGGCATGTATGGGTCTGACCATTTCCCCCTGCCCCCAGCTGTGGGGCTGGCCCAGATGAGAAACCCCAGGTCCAGTGCTGAGGGTGGGGGGTCAGGAGGAAAGTTATTGTCAATCTCTACATTATATCTATGCTGTGAGCAACCCTGAAAGGAGTTACACAATGCCAGGTTCTTTCCACAATGCCAAGTTCATTAGGGGGAGACCTCCAATAAGTCAATAGACTCCCACGCAGGCTACACAAAGAGAGGGGGAGGTTACATGAGCAGAGCAAAGTTTCCGTCACTGGGGGAGTCTGCAGGTGGAGAGGCAGGCCTCAGTCTCTAGCCAGGCGGCTACCGTGGTGGCATGCATGTGGTGGAGTAGAAGTCTGGCAGGGATCCAAGCACGACCTGTGGTATAGCCAAGCCTGAGGTAGTAGGAGCTCTGAATTCTTACAGTTACCCGGGGTGGAGGTCTCACTCATAGCGGTGTCCAAATGGAATCCTTTGCTGTGTCCAGACTTGTGGTTTGGGGCCTTCTGGGCCCCTCCTAAGGGCGTTCCCATTACACCCCATTACCTCAGTCTTGACATACCTCAGTCTTAGCTGACAGTGACTCCATATTGGATTGTCAAAGGTGCCCAGAAATTCTACTCTGCTCTTGCTCTGTAAAATCTGTTTTTCCTTGAGGACAGGGAACCTGAAATGCAGCAACCTTGAGTCTAGTCGGGGCTTTTCCATTGGCTTACTGTGTGGTTTTAGAGAAGGCCATTCTTTTTCTGGGCCTCAGTTTCCCATTTTGCAAATTATAATCACAAAGCCCCTTTTGTTTTTGATTCCCACAGTACAAAGGGGGAGGGGACTCCAGATGGTACAGTTTGGTCAATCTTGCTCATAATCTGAGGCCTGTACCTTGACCCCACCTCCTACCTGACCACCTGTGGAATCCAGTCCCCAGTATCTCACCTCTGGGAGAGAGTGGTGACCCTACACTCCTGCTGTAATCCTAATATTCCCTCTTTCCTGCCTTCAGAGGCGTTTCCGTGTCCAGCCTTCCTTCTCGAGACTCTGTCCCATTATCTTCTTAGATGAGGAGACTGAGGTTGAGAGTGACTGTCCCACAGTCTCCTGTAAGACACTTAGCAGAGTCTTGCCTCTACTACTCAGGGCTCTTACCCTCAAGGGCTCTTACCTTGGAGTTTCCCTACCTCCTCTCTTTCCGAGACCCTCCCTGCTGACAAGGTCCATAGGAGGCCTGTTCTGCCCAGGAAACTGAGGGTCTGGAAGCCAGACTCCAGGCCACTACCTTGATGAACAAGGAGTAACAAGTCTCACACCCCCTCTAAGCCTCAATTTCCTCTTCAAGAGAAAGAGAGCTCCCGGGTGCCTTTCCTTCTTACCCTCTGCTCTCCATCAGGAAAGAGCTGGGACTGGGCCACACAAATCTGAGGTCACCTCCGGAAAGACCTCTGAGCCCCTGGGGTTCTATTGAGCCAAGGGTGGGAGGCAGACAGTACCCCAGCCCTCTGCCCCATCTCCCTTGCTGGATCCTGTCATGAGCCCAGTGAATCTCAGTTGGGAACTACTGGCCGCACCCCCCAAGGGTCTCAGCTTCAAGGAGCCCCAGGCTTTCACTCCTTGGCATTCCCAGCCCCATAAAGTCAGGATGAGGTCAGGAGCCGGGAGGGCCCTCATCTGCCCCTGCCTGCCCACCTTGGCCCAGACTGGAGCCCAGGTGCCCCACCCTTGAGGGAGCTGTCAGGTGTAGTCATGGGTGCTTTCAAGTGTGGTCCTGCCAGGCCCAGCCACGCTCTGGGTGGGGGCACTTTGTAGACACAAGCTCCCTTCATAGCTCCCTTCATCTTGTCTGAAACCAAGCAGGGAGGATCTGTCCTGCTGCCCCAGCTAGGGGAAGCTGTACAACCTGAAGCGCAACAACACAAGCGTTCTGCCCACGGCAGGTGGGTGGCAGAACGGAGAACTCAACATTCATCTGCAATGAGCCAGTTCTTGAGGGACTTGGGTCACCCTGCCAGTCACAAGGGAGGGGACATGGGTAGCTCTGGGGCATTCCCATTACACCCCATTACCCGTGGTAAGAGGGGGTGGGTTGTGGGAAAAACTGGGTTTTGGGGTCAACAAGGCTGGGCTTGACTCTGGGCGCTGCTGTTCACTGGCCTGGTGACCTCTCTGAGCCCACATGTCCCCATCTGCAAAATGTGGCTAGCAATCCACCCACCTTGCAGGATTGTGGTGAATCTCAGATGCAAGAATGCAGGTGAAATGCCTGGTGCTCACCGTGTTAATCCTTAAGGAAAGAGGGCCTTTAATTTTGGATATTGAGACTTAGACTAATGAGAATTACCCAGTTGCATGAGCATTAGAGCATGTCCAAGTATCTTATCAGAGTCCCATTACTGAGATGAGGAAACTGAGGGTCAGAACTGCCCAAGGTCACAAAGCTGGAAGGGGGTATGAGAGATTGGGACTCAGGCCTCCTGATCCTCTGTCCTGCAGGAGAGAGACTGCCAGGCAGCCCAGGGAGTGCGGTGGGCTTCTGGGAACAGGGTGCTGTTTTCAGCAAGTGTTGCCTATCAGGACAGGGAAGGTTGGGCCAGACTCTCTGGGGTGCCTCCATCCCTGACCAAGATGCTCTTCCTCCAAAAGGCTGCACCCTAAACCCAGCCACAGGACTTGGCAAGAGGATCAAGGGCTGAATGTCAGCTTCCACTTGTCCACCTGCCCAGATGGTCTTTGACAATCATCTGCTCTAGCACTGAACTGCCAGGGGTAGTTTTTCTGGGATTGAAAGGACAGTTAAGTCCACCCCTTAGGGATTTCCCAGAAGCCATTGGGAGGGAGAAGCGAAGGAAGATGGGCGCGGTAGGGTCTGGGGTTACTTAATTGGAGCGGGCCCTCCTCTCATCTGTGGCCCCAAAGTCTGGGATATTCTGCAGCAGCCCCGAGACCTGCCTCCCATCCTGGCACTGTGCCTGAGTCCGTAGGCACAATAGCCACACCCTTGGCTGGTATGAGAAAGTTCGAGAGGCTTCAGGCAGCTGAGAGAGCTCCCTGGAGAGGCCCGACAGCTGACAGATTTCGCTTGTTGCTGAGCCTGCTGGGAATCGAAAATGTGAGGAGCAGTAATTAGAGCACATGGGGGGTTGGGGGAGCACCAGGTCTTTCTGGAAGTGTCTAGACCAGGGGTGGGCAAACTTTTTGACTCGAGGGCCACCATGGGTTCTTAAACTGAACCGGAGGGCCGGAACAAAAGCATGGATGGAGTGTTTGTGTGAACTAATATAAATTCAAAGTAAACATCATTACATAAAAGGGTACGGTCTTTTTTTTCAATAGTTTTATTCATTTCAAACGGGCCGTAGTTTGCCCACGGCTGGTCTAGACACTGACCCTCCAGCCTGCCCACCCACTAGGCCTCGGCTTCTGGCTGACCTTGGGATCACATCACCCCCATCACCACTGAAGGGGTGACAAGGAGGGGCCAGGTGGAAGGGGACCCATCTTCTGGCCCCAATTGCCCTGCTGTCCAGCAAAAATAATCTGTGTAGCTTGGGAGTCTGGGGACCTACTCTGGGACCTTAGCCAGCGGCCGGCTCCCATGACTCATTTTCTTCATCTGTGCAATGAGACCATTGGACTGGATGTTCTCTAAGGCTCCTTCCAGCACTATGAATCAACAGTTTCTCCTCCACTTCCCCCTCCCCCAGGTTCCC